AAATCACATTCTCAATTTGTTTGAGCATCTGTACCTTATTTACCTATATCTAAAAGCACAGTCCTGTACTTTTAAGTAGGTATGCCAATCAATTTCTTTTATTTTATAATCATTTTGAATAGTGTTGCTGTTCTTGTGACTGAAAGAAAATTCTTCACTATTACAATGCTGTAAGACTGAAAACTAAATTTTTATTTTTGTCATTAGAAGTTATGTTTATGAGTAATTTGTATCAATGAAACAAGCTAATGTTATGTTACATGAAAAAGATAGGATATAGAAATGTTATACACTACAGCGACTTTTGAAAAACTGCATATAAAAACCTTGATATTCTAAAATATGAAGGGATTGTCTTTAGAAAATGATTTTTTTCTTTTTACACTTCTGTGTTTTTCAAAGTTCCTAAAAGTATATTATAATTCAACACTTTTTATTAAAATATAATTCACAGCATAAAAGTCACCCCTTTTAACTGTACATACTAGTGATAGTCACAAAACTGTGCAACCATCCCACTATCTAATTCAAAAACAATCTCATCACTCCAATAAGAAACTCATACATTAGCAATCACTCCCCATTCCTGGCAGCTACTAATATATTTTCTGCCACTATGGATTTGCCTGTTCTGGACATCTGAAACAGAATCATACAGTACGTAGATTTAGAATGTTTTCAGTGTTTATTTTAGAACGTATTCAGTGTTGCCACATTAATCGGTACTTCATTCTTTTTACGGCAAATTAACAATTCATTGTATGGCTAATACCACATTTTGTTTATCAGTTTACCCATTAACCCATTGATAGATTTTGTTTCTACTGTTTGGCTATTATGAGTGATACTGCTATGAGCATTTTCATACATGGTGTTTATGGAAACATTTCCTCAATTCCCTTGGATAGATATTTAGGAACAGCTGGACGTATTTTGTAATTTTAAAATACGCAAAGAATTCTTTGTAAGTGAAAATTGTTCACTTTCAGAGCCATCAAAGGCACAGAGAAACAAAAGGTCACTCACCTATTTGACAAGATACCAGTCTGAGAAAATCATTTAAAATAGTTATATTCAGGATGCCAAAATGAGGTTGTAAACCGTCTAAAACTACTGTATTTACTGGCACAACTAAAATAAAGATAATATTTTATGTATATTCATTTTTTTGTTCATGTTTTCTCATCCCATTTTTTAAGAGGCAGCTAGGTTTTAGTACATGGTATAATACCAATTTACAAACACAATCAATTTCACTTAAATATTTACTATACCAAGGCAGAAAACTGTAAAACTATACAATGTTAATAATTAATATGGTCTCCCTCTGCTTTCAGGAAAAACAGGTTAAGCAAACCACATAAAATTCTTCACATCAAAATCAACCTCTTGACCAAATTACTTTTTTCTTTTCATTGTCTTGAAGCCTTTTGATGGATTTTACCACAAACCTTGCTACAGTTATTCTATATAATCCATTTAGCCAAGTAAAGATATAGTAAATAAAGTACATCTAGCTAAGATAAAATTATATTACATATAAGTAATTTTATATTTAAGTTATGCAGAAGCAGCCCATTCTAATAAACCTTTTCATGTTACAAATTTTTTTGTCCTTTGCATGTTATAAATTTCTTATTGCTGAGTCATATGCCAATAATATTACAGAGTAATCTAATCGCTAAGAAAAAGTAGAAACTTTTATGTTATAGTTTATGGTGGAAAGGATTTTTGAGGCTCTTTTTTTTTTTGAGGCTCTTATTTTTACATTCCTTCTCAATCATCACTGGCTGTGTCATTTTTGACAATTTACTTAACCTTTCTGAATATTGATATTTTATAAAATGTGCCTAAAGATACATGTTCTGGGACTTATTATGAGAAAGGAAAGCAATAATTTGGCATAAGGCATGTAAATAATAAATTATGACAGCTGCTGTTATTCTTATTTTTAAATTTTATTATCAGTAGTAAGCTGGATATACCAACAGTTTTCCTCATTTGAATATATAGCGAAATATACCCTTCTATTTGACAATGATCTACAGGGCTGGAGGTTTAGCTCAGTGGTCCCGTTGCCTGCCTCTCAAGCACAAAGTCCTGAGTTTGATCCCCGGTACCAAAAAAAAAAAAAAAAAAAAAAAAAAAAAAAAAAAAAAAGACAATGATCCTGCTTTTCTTATGCCCACCTCAATTTTTTGTTTGTTTATTTTATTTTTTGTAGTACTAGGGATTAAACCCAGGGCCTTCACATCAAGCTACATACCCAGACCTTTTCTATTTTATTTTGAGGCAGGGTCTTGCTAAGGCACTAAGTTGCCCAGGCTGGGGTTGAACTTTCTATTCCCATTTCAGCTGTCCAGAAGGGTATGGGATTACAAAAATGTGCTACCATACTCAGTCCTACCCTAGTTTTAAAGCAAAGAGATACTACCATAAAGTTTAGTGTAAGAGCCCATAAAGTCTAAGTGGTTATATCATTGATGTTAGAAATAAAAATGATTTAGTCATTTTGATTCATAATCCACATTTAACTCTAATTTCTTATTTCAAAATTATATTCCCTTTGGTATATTGATGAGAAATAACCCATTTTCATAAAAACCTGAAAATATTTGATTCTATTGCATGCTATGGAAAAGCAAAAGTCACTTATGCAAAGATTTATGAGCATCAAATTCATATGAAGCAGAAATAAGGATTATTTTGAATATTAAAACAAACAAGTAAATATGTTCTATTTGAATACATCACACTATATACTACTAGAAATAAAGCCTGATTGTTCAGTGTTAGAGTAAAATCTCAATTCTTCAAAACTCTCTATATATTTTTAAATTATTAATGGACTTTGAGGAAAGAAGCAAAATATGCAACTAGTGGAATTGGGTATTTAGGTACAAGATATCTAACATTAAGAATCCTGAATTGGATAAATAACAGTCAAATTTTTGACACTGGGTATATTATACTAAAGTACTATATGACAATAATCATTCTAATGCAGTTGTTTATTAACAACATTCTGTTCAATTTAATAGAGTCATATTAACAAGGTAGGAATTCAACTCTCAAGAAAAGGTGCCAGACAACCTCATATCCTCTGAAATGCAAAATCCTAGCTGGAATTGAGAGACAAGCCCTAACATACATAAAAAATATACATTCACAGATTCACAAGCGAAGCTGAGTGCTTATGGGAATATTTCTCTAAAAAGACATAAATGCCAGTCTTCCTATTAATCAAGCAAATTTAAATTTTAAATGATCATCAGTCCCTAGTGACCACTGGAGACTCCACTAATCCATGATCATGTCATAGCTTGATATTTCTCTGTCTTCTGATTCCTGCTCAATCCTCTCTTACACTCTCTCATTCAACAAAATTCCACACATTTACAGAAATACATTTGAAGGAGAAAAAAAATCAATAAGGAATCTCATGATAGAAGGGAAAAATAATAATTTTCATTTGATGTTTGAATCATCAGGACCCATGAAAAACTATCAAATACTTTTACCACAGGTCAACTTTTATAGATAAGGTATTAAGTGTGCACATATACACACACACACGCATTTCCTTCTCTTGCTATTTCAGATAGGTGCCTGATTCTCAAGAACACCCTATTCAAGGGCTGAGGATTTAGCTTCGTGGTTCTTCCACCTGCCTCACAAGCACAAGGACCTGAGTTCGATCTTCAGTATTAAAAAAAAAAAAAAAAATTGGCAGGGATTTAGCTCAGTGGTGCCACTGCCTGGTTTCCAAGTGCAAGATCCCAAGTTTGATCCCTGATACCAAAAAAAAAACACCCTATTCAAAGACAGTTTCTTCAATTATATTCCTGCTTGATATAGGCCATAATAATACCTTTATGATAATCACCTGCATCCTGTGTAATATTCTATAAAACTTCCTTCAGTGAAAAACACAAATCATAGTTTGGGGATGGCAAATAACAATATAATAAGAGAACAAGGAGCTGGAGACTTAGCTCAGTAGTTCTGCCACCTGCCTCACAAGCGCAAGGTCCTCAGTTTAATCCCCAGTACGAAAAAGAAAAGGAAAAAGAAAATAGACTTTTCTTTCAATGATAAACATTAAAATAGTACAGTATTTAAATTATTATTACCTGAAATTAGTCAAGCCCTAAGAATTCTTTCATTAAAAGCAAACATATCTTAATTTGAATTTTTTTAAAGCTGTAGGATATATTAATTTACATATAAAATGCGAGAGTAAAGGAGTAATAAAGGGCAACTTTCACATGCACTTGAATAGCCACCACAGGCATTTTATTAAAACATATCACTTGTGCCTATTTTTACCATACCTGAACACACTGATCTGCCATGCTGCATGTTAATAAAGAATGCAAAATAGAAATAGGGAAATGTTAGCAGAATAAAACTCAAAACTATTGCATAGAGAATTATAAAATTAAGTCACAAGTTTTTTATCTAGTCTTTATGATGGATGAGTAATTTAACAGTTTATTTTTAACTCAATTAACAAATCACACAGCTCTTAGTTTTAATTGGATTACCCAAGAGACAGGCTTCATTGTTAAAATATTTTGCCCTTTTCAGATTTCATAGCAATTTGCAAGATCCTATTATGAAAGTCTCCTTCAGGTCAACTGGTTAATTCACTTATTAGGGCAACATAGTGATTAAGGGAAAAAAAGATATGCCTTTTAGATTATGTCTATTCAATGCTGTTTTAAAAAGAAAGAATTTAATTAGCATAGCATGAAAATAACCATTGGCAAAATGAAGCAATACCTCAAAGTAGGATAACAAAACAAAGGTTGTAATATTAGACGTTAAGTATTCATTTTAATTGAAAAAATAGGAAGCTGTCTGAGTTGTCCTTAGTTTTGAGAGAACAAGCTTCCATGCTGAACTTTTCAAAATAATAAAAAACACATTGACTACACTACCTCCACTAGCATTGCAGTTAAATGGAACAAAAGGACTAATCCCACTCCAGTACTTACTTCTCTTCGGTGACACAGCCTGCAAGCAGGCGGTCATGATGTCACAGTTCCTCTGTACTTTATTCAGGAGCCTATCTTTCTGCTTCAGTTGCCGAAGTAACTTTGCTGACTGAATGCCAATTCTATACTTCAGCTCTCGGAGGATCATCTTCAATTCATTAGAGTCTAGCAGTAAAGAAAATAAAAACAAAATAATAAATACGCTAAGAGGAATACAAATCCCAACGTGACACTAGCAAAAGATAAATGTCTAGGACATCTGTTTAAACCTCCAGTTATAGGTTCTTGCCTTAGATTACATGTATATATCCAGGTGATATATTCTGATCAAATAAGTCACCCATTGAGTCCTTTCCCTGTCCAAATACTGTAAGATAAATGTGAGTTAAATACAGTAAGACAAGTTTTAACCTTGAAGCTACCTGTAACATGTCCATGCTTGGCTCCTATTGTAGTTAACTTTCATTGCCTGAAAACTGGCTTGTACATTTTAGATTATCAAACTACTCTGGGGGTGAGTCTGCAAGACAAGAATCTTTTTAAATCTTTTATATTAATGATAAATTTAACAGCTGGCAATTTTTTAAGCACTCATCTTTGTAAATTACCAGTTAAGAGTCAATAATTTTACCACATTTTATAATGTGTTGATACTGGTTTTGCTTTAAATGTACAGTCCCCCAGTAGCCTATCTACGAAGTACAATACTTCATTTTAAGAACTCAATACTTTTTCATATATGGTAGAAAACACATTTCCTTTAAACAGATAAATTAAAATGTCTATATTCTTCAAATTATCATTCATAACAGTATGAGATGATATAAAAATTCATCTCATTTTTCATCACTCTTAAGGTACAGTACCTAGAAATCTGTAATTCTCTGAATTATATGTTCTTCATAATTTTCAGACCTGAGTGTGGAAATGTCCTCACAGCAATATCTGCTAGGATGTAAATATCCTATGGATATAAACAACATCTGAGTAGTTCACACCAGCCACATCCCCTCTAACTGAAAAAAATGAAATTGCCATCTGAAAAACTGAGACCAATTTACTCTCTAAGGAATTCCAGAATGTATGATAATAAAAATTTCTAATAGCCACACCTGGTGACATATGCCTATAATCCTAACGCTAAGGAGGCTGAGGCAGGAGGATCACAGTAAGATCGAGGCCAGCCTGGGCTGGGCTGCCTAGTGAGAACCTGTCTCTCTCAAAGCACACACTCACATAAATACACACACACAAAAAAAAAAAAAAACCTAACATTCATTAAGCACTTCACATACATCAGCTTATGTACTTCTCACCATAGCCATCGAGATAGGTAATAATATTATTATTATTCCTCTTTACAGGAAAATGAGACCAAAGGATGTTAAATAGCAAGGTCACACAGCTAGTAAGGAACCATGGCAGGAGATCAACCCAGGAGTCCAGCTCCAAAGTTCATCCTCCTCACCATGGAAACACTGACAGTCCAGATTTCCTGAGGAACCATTTTGATACCTCACCTGAACAAAGGACCTGCACATATTAAATACCTAAACAGGTGCCACATTAGCACTACAGCAAAATTCCTAACAGTGAGGAGAATTAATGCACAGGTCATCTGTATTATATGAGACTCTTAACTGACTGCAGAGTAGTCATTAGGAGGGATATCTTGACCCTGAAAAAAATCACCTAACAAGCAACATTATTTAAGCAGACAACTGTATCTATCACCTGATTCTTTAATCCTAGCATCCTAGTGATGTTTATCAACAGAGATTGTGTGCCATTAGAGTATGGCGCCTTGTTCACTTTAAAAGGCTTGATTACAAGAAAAGAAAAGATCAGCTGGCAACTAGGCAGGCAATAAGAATGAAACTGGGGCAAAATGGACTCTCACAGGTCTTGTCAACGATTGCAGAATGGTCGTTTATACGAAGTCCTCTTATAAAGCTTCACCATTTCCTTCTTCTCTAAACTTTGGCTTGCCAATTCCTCTCTTGCAAAAGGAAATTACTAATCCCCCAAATCCCTCAGTAAGTAAAAGTGAATAGTCTTGTGGTAAGAGAAAGGCAAGTCAATTCTTCAGAACTGATTCTGTTGGAGTCTGAAAGAATTGTCACCCTATGGAACTTTTGGCATGAGAAACAGCCAAATATGAAGTGAAGTGGCACAACTCCAACCAAAGTCCTACACAGAGGGAAGAAGGTAGAAGCCACTTGCAACAATCATCTACAGGAAAAAAATCTTCACCAGGAAGCCAAAAGAGGAAGCTAAAAGCTGTTTGCATAGACAGGCTGGAGAAAGCAGACAGATTTATTTCCCACACCTGCCGGTCAGCTACCATCAACAGCTAGACTGATTTTACAATGAGAAGACAGGAGACCATTATACAATAACCTGTCTTTCATTTCTCCCCTGGCAATTTAGCACAAAGTCATTATTCCCAAGAAAGGTTATCGTGACTTAGCTTCTATTTTCCACTCAACAAATTTTGTAAATTGAGGTCAGGCTACATTTATGCAAATAAAAAGTAATAACTGTTAGTGTTTGAAAGACAAGCACTGATGAGCATTTGAGGAAAAAAAAATCAGGACATGAGCTTCAGAATTTGATAAGAAAAGCAACAAAATCAGCCTCTCCCAGGTGAAACTAGGCTTTTTTTCTCAGAACGACCTCTCCGTGCCAACTGAAGGTGCCAGCAGTCAAATTCTGTAAAGAAGCCAATGCTTGCAGAGTCTCCACTAATCCACAGAGAGAACAGAACAAAACAACACAATAAACACCTAGTGAGTTGCTTGGATCCTTAAGTTCTGGCAGAAATGGAATTCACACGCTGTGTTTCAAAACTGCATTATCGAATTATTCTGCCTCACTAATAACTGTCCAAGTGGTGTGGCTAGATAGGACGGGCTTTAAAAAAAAGAAAAAAGAAACAAAAAGAGAAAGAAAGACAGACCGACCGACCGACCTAGGAGTCGCCTCTATTCTCCCAGCGTCCTATGGGAACCTCCAGGTACACGCATCAGAAACCACAAGAAACTCCGAAACTATCCTAGCACCTGTCGGCCGAAAGTAGAATCCGGACTGCCTCTCCCCTTGGGACTCCACAAACACTTGGGGGATGAGGAAGGGGAAAGCCAACCATTCCAACCACTGATACTCTAAGCGAGCCTGGAGAGAGGTTAAGAGGGGCGGAGGCAGAAGTCTGAGTATAGTCAAGAACCGGCAGGACAGGCATCAGATCCCAGGGAACTCCCCGAACTCACAGCGCGCGCTCGGCCGATCCGCCCCGGTGCGCACAGGCGTCCTCCTCCCCGACCCTCACCTTTCTGCCGCAGGTACTGCAGCTGGAGCCGCTGGCTGGGACCCGTAGCCGGCCGG